TGACAGATTTGTGGGGTTAAGTGAATCGGACAGAGAGGAGCTCTCGTGTGGTATTTGTCTCAATATATTCCGCGAACCAGTTGTCACTCAATGCTGTCGACAGACAATATGCAGTCAATGTATCCGCAATTGGCTTAAAAACAACAACGAGTGCCCTTTTGATAGAAAGGCCATGTTTATTAATGATTTACATCGAGCACCCATGTCAGTTAAAACTAATACCCCATTCTAGCTTAACTTAGAACCCATGTAATAAGTTATAAGCAGTAGATGAACACTATTTACTATTGAATGTCATTGGCTGTACATATAATTTTATAATTATAATTATAATAATAATTTGTTTATGTACAATTATAATAATATGTTTATGTACAAATAATTATATCTTAATTAAGTAAAACCTACATTATTACATAGTTTACACATGCTAAATTGAAATTATCAGGATCCAATAATCTACGGGAAAGTGGTATTGTTATAATACCGGGGTCAAGTTTCCGGTGTAAGTATTCTGAATACGAAGTGTTAACTAATCCATATAATGCCAATTTGGAGTGGGTACAATTTAAAATCTTTATTCCAAATGGCGCTGTATTTGGTGGTAAAGAGCTCGCAAATGAGCTAACTTTGTAATGGTCAATCTGGTTCAACTTTTATAACCAGGGCTAAAATAGGGGGACTATGGGTTACTATGGGAAAATGCNTTTGTAATGGTCAATCTGGTTCAACTTTTATAACCAGGGCTAAAATAGGGGGACTATGGGTTACTATGGGAAAATGCATGAAAGGCAGCTAGGTCGTATGTATTATCCAGATGATGGTGCAGAAAGTTCTCATTATTATAATATTGAAATTATTGTTTTTAAGTTTAATTATTTATCTTGATGAATTTGTATTTTTATAAAATGTATATTTATCAAATTTATCAATACATTGCTAAGTGTGTACTTAATTCAGACTGTAAATTATGTGATTATGTTAATTGAATACCACGGTGTAATTAACTTATTACTAAATTACGAAATAATTTCTGTTTTTTATTTGTATTTATATTTGGGATTTAATGAATATTGAACATGCAAAATAACATTGATTAATATACACAATATATTGCTAGTATTCAGTACATAATGTACATTCAGAAATATTGATTTATAATAAATATTTTTATTAACTTAAATCATGTAATTGTGTAATTAAGATAACTAGAATAATATTATTGTAAACACAAAACAACAACAAAATTATTCAATAAAAGTATAGTTTTTGTAAACAATAATACAATACCTAGTAACAATTAATTGTATTTATATCAAAATTTCAGTTATATAATAATATATATTTAATATTTATTTATCATATAACTTATTTATAAATACAATGAATTTTGATTTGTCGCATACCGTTCCCTTGGAACTTCAAGTCACAAATGTGGACAGTCATTTATATCGCCTAGGTGTAAGCTTATTTAAGCCATTATCTAAAATTAAAAGACCATGGTATAATCATCCAATAATATTATACGCATCGCATATATTTTTTTTAATGAGATGTTTGGTAAATATTTTGAACTTATTTCCCAATAAGTCATATGATTTTAACTTACATTTGGGGAATATAGACGTATTTCTAAATACTGGATCACCCTTTATATCCCTGGCCGTCGCAATGAACTGTGTATTGTGTACAGCCTTACAGCTCATACATTATCACAACTACAGGAATGGTATACAACCCCGAGATTTACGGGTATTTCAAATGATAGCCGGATTTACTGCACCTAAAAGTCTTGATATTAATGACAAGGATTTAGTGATAAAATTATGTAGAATTTGTGGAAAAACTATTGGATTTATTAAATATGTAGTCCGCACCCTGATGATATTTGCGTATTTTATTACTTTTATTGGTTTTGCCTCCAAAGTATCCCTGGTGTATTTAATTGCGTACGGTATACCCCATAGTTTGCTATGGGCTATATGGGTTGGACATACAATTAAAATATTATGCTACTTAACATTTAATTATTTTATTGTATCGTATTATTTGAAATCCAAACTAAACCTACAAAATAGATTATTACTTCAAAAACTGTACCGGTACAATTATATTAATAATATCACTCATATTATGCATAAATTGGACAAGATCTATTTGGAGATTAATGAATATAACCAAGCTTATTATTCAAAATATCTATTTGCAAATTGGACATTCATAGGATTTATAATTGTATTATCAGTACATATTTGCTTGCTTAGTAAATTATTGCCAATAATCAGGGTAATGATAGGCGGATTTGGATTAGAGTATACAATGCTATTGGCGTTTATAATACACATATCGGCGGCCATTAATACTGAGGCCAATAAGTCCTATGAATTATTTGTATTGCAATTAAACTCAAGACAAATAATTCCCATTTGTTTAAAATTAAAAGTAAGCTAGCCTGTTAAATGGATTTTTAATTTTTATTAAAAATATTATTATATTACAGCTAATAAATTTTACGACCCGTGTAGGTGGGAAAGGTATTGGATTTTATTGTTGGAAATTATTTGTTATTAATACGACTAGGGGATTAGAGGTAGGTTTTTAATTACTAATTTGAATTAAAAATTTAAATATTTGTACATTTTAAATTTACAGATTGTAATGATGATTGTGGTTTTATTTATAAAAGTTTATGAGCTATCGCATAGGACTCATTTATCCGGCTAATGTATTTTCTAAGAAATTATATATAAATTTAAATAAAATAAAAATTATTTAGAATTAGATAATGTATAATAAAATGCCAAAATATTTTGTTACAATAAATACATATTTTATAAAGCTATCGCATTTTTGAATATATTTTCAAGTTTTTAATGCGGGTAAAAATTTTGAGATATGTACTGTATACTAATAGACCTGTGAATAAATATACTGTTAAATAGCTTTTAGGCTATTTACATGATTTAGGAAATAAATAAGTTGACCAGGGTTATATAAAAATAGGACATTTATTTAACGTGACATAAAGGATAGAAAAAGTGGCCTAAAAGGCCTAGGTAATGAAGTTTACATTTCTAGACACAGACATAAAGTTCTCTCTTAGCATACAATGAAGGTTATTATATATGGTATTGAAAGTAACATGATACATTACTCAATGATAGTGACTGTACTGTACTGTGATTTACTTGTTTATCATTCTGGATATATATTAATATCTAACACGAAATATACTAATGATGTCTTGATTATTTATTATTATAAATAATATAATGATTATTGAATAGATTTGGACTTTTAATTACCATAGACTTTAAAGTACGTAGACACCTGGGGTCAAAATAAATATATTATTTTCTTATACATTTCACAATCTACAATTTAATTGTAAGCAATAATATAATTTTATTACTAAAATTTCATTTTGTGCATTTTCTTTGTAAAAAAGGCTTTTAAAAATTTATTTAAATTCAAACTTTAAAATAATTTACTTATTATTTAATTAAAATGATTAATTTACAATTCGACCTGTCTCATAAAGTTCCACAGAAACTCATAGTTAGCCATGCTGAAAGTCATTTATACCGCATAGGTTTAAGCTTATTTAAACCAGATCACATTATAAAACGATCTTGGTATAATCACCCACAACTTCTTAATATGTTTCATGTATTTATTTTAACAAGATGTTTGACATTAATTATTAATCCATTTCCCGATATGTCGTATGAATTTCACTTACATATGGGAAATATAGACCTATTCTTAAACACCGGGTCATCCATCACCACCCTGTCCATCGGAATTACGAGTATATTATGTATTGCATTACATTTCATACATTATCACAACTACAGGAGTGGTATACAACCCCGAGATTTACAGGTATTTCAAATGATAGCAGGATTTACTATCCCTGAAAGTCTTGGTATTAATGACAATGAATTAGTGATAAAATTGTGCATAATTTGTGGTAGAGTTCTGAGATTAATCAGATATATTTATATGACCATGTCTATATTTTCATTTCTTATTACAATTATTGGTTTTGGCACTAAACTATCACTGATTAGTTTAATTTTGTATGGTATACCCCATGCTTTATTATGGGCTATATGGGTTGGCTATTTTACCAATATATTATGCTACTCTACATTTTATTACTATATTATATCGTATTATTTAAGATCTAAATTAAAAATACAAAATAGGTTGTTGAAACAAAATTTAGATAAATACAATAATATTAATAATATCAAGCTATTTATGATTGAATTTAACAAGATTTATGTTGAAATTAATGAATATAACCTGGCGTTTTATTCAAAATTTCTAATTGCAATTTGGTTATGTATGGGATCAATAATTGTATTTACCGTGTATATTTGTGTATTCAGTAACTCAATGCCAATAATCCGGGTCATGTTAACCGGGTTTAGTTCAGAGTACGCTCTGTTATTGGCGTTTATAATACACATATCGGCGACAATTAATACTGAGGCTAATAAGACCTATGAGTTATTATTATCGCAATTGTATTTAAAACATGAAATTCCCATTTGTTTACAATTAAAGGTATAGTCAAACTGTAAAAACTATTTAAAAATTTAAAAATTTAGTATTTTTCTTACAGTTAGTAAATTTTGCTGCCCGTTTGGGTGGGAAAGGTATTGGATTTTATTGCTGGAAATTATTTGTAATCAATACGGCTAAAGGTTTTGAAGTAAGTACTTATATGCTAGAATGTTTTATTGAATTCATTTTTGTTTGATTAAATAATTTATTTATAGATTATCATGATGATTGTAATTTTATTTTTAAAAGTTTACGAGTTATCGCATAAATATTAACCCAAGTGGGGCACAACGTTAGATGAAAATAAATTGTGCAAGTATAATCGTGTGTTATGAGTCGTGTTACACGTAAATAAACAATTTAAGTAAATCATTTGAATCATTATTAATTAATTTGCAACAATAAATAATTTAAATATATTTTGATGTATAGTATTTTTCTTTTAATTTTAAAAATATACCTAATATACTAGTATATGATAAATATATAATTTTAGGTAGAGAATAATAGTCACCAGATTTAAATTATATAATTAAAATACATATAACTGGGTCGAAAGTATAAAGGCCTCTAAATTATTTTAAATAATATGAGTAAAATTAATATACAGTAAATTGAATTGATTAAAAATATGGCACAACTTATATTCATAAAATAAAGAAATATTTAAATAATAATTTATTTATACAATGATTACAATCGTTATTTTAAATAATATTTGAATATATATAACCTTTAATTTTAATTTAATTTTAACGGGAAATATTTTCAAATATTTCTAAATTAACTCATTTTAGACAATTAACATTTAGGTTTGGCATATTATTAATCAATAGTATTAAATCGTTATGCTACATATACAGTATGTTATAGTTAAGAGAATAAAACACATTCATAACAATTATAAAATTTTATAATAAAATTATAATAAACTTGAAAATTAATTATTTATATCGATTTACTACTCACATGTCAGATCATTTTATCACATAAATAATTGTGTTTAGATTTAGCTATTTTATAAATTGTATTTTTAGTTGCAATTATCTTCAAGGGTATAATTATAAAGTCGTAAATTTTTTTACTTTTTTCTATAAATGATTACAATTATTAAGTTATAAAAATAACACTACACTATGCGATAAAGATATAAAATATTTGTATCTTGACTACTATCAAATAATTAAATACCTAAAACTAGTTATTCAAATTACTACATTTATATATTAAATACAGATATTTAATAATTGATTTAATCATAAATTTATTATTTGTATGTTGTCAATAACACCATTTAGAAATGAATTTGTAATAATTAATAAATACAAAAATATCTGATAAATTAGTTAACATAGTTACAATCAAAACACTCAACGTGGTTGATTACAAAGTGAGATTTAGTTTCATATAAGTATTAAATTTATACTACGCACATAATGCTAAATAACTTAATTTAAAATTATTTGTCTGTTAGCCAGTTAACTTTTACAATGTCGGGCTATGACTGCAACCGGTTTGTGGGGTTAAGTGAGTCGGACAAAGACGAGCTCTCGTGCGGTATTTGTCTCAATATATTCAGGGATCCAGTGGTCGCCCAATGCTGTCGACAGACATTTTGCACGCAATGTATACGCGATTGGCTCAAAAATAACAATGAGTGCCCTTTTGATAGGACACCATTGACTGCGACTGAACTACATAAACCACCCAGGTGACAATATTAATATAATAGTTTATTAAATTCACTGTTTAAAGCGTAAATTTTTATGTTAAATATTTATGTTACAATAGATTGTTATATTTTAAATATAATCATTTGATTAAAAATTTTTAAAATTGTTTCCTTCAGAGTATAAACCTCTTATGAACAGTATGTTATAAAATAAAACAATATTTAATGCGATCTTAATAATTTTTATATATCAACTTACTAATAATTATAATTAACTACATATGATAAGGCTATTAATTACTAACGTGTGTTATACTTTCTGAATTACATATTATGATTATTAATACTTCACTAAATATGATTTGTTTAGGAAACATGGTAAATATTCTATTGGATACTGTAGCTAATTTATTTCAATCTTAAATATATAATATTTAATAATTTAAATACCTATTTTGATAAATAAGGTTTGTTGATAACATGCTGGGCAAACTACAAATCTATTGCGATTATAAAGATAATGGATGCCCACAAATATTGCTATTTGAAAGATTATTGCACCATACACAAGTATGCGAGTTTAACAAGCAGAAACATTTATCATATTTACAACCAAATATTAAGCCAAGTTTCGACAAAGTTCAACATAATGATAGTTTGAGAATGGAAATGCCCGGTCATAATTTAAATTCTCATAAGTGGTGTAGCAAGTTTCAAGAAATATTAAATGTTTATAAACAGTCGTGTAATACACAAAGTAAGTGAAAATTTTGATCTTTATTAAACAGGCAATTAATTGTAAAAGACAATGGTTTAACGCTAATTTTGATAAACATTTAAATTTTGTTTATTAAAAAAGTATAGATTTTGAAAATTATCTATGACTAATATTGTATGCGTACACTAGTTGTAACCTAAAGTGTCAATCATTTAAAATATTAGCTATAATCTACTAATCAATTTTAAATCTTTAATTAATGTATTTTTGCTAAATATGCCTCGAGCATTTTACAGTTATTTTGATCGTCAACTTATATCATATCCGTAATAATCCCAATCAATAATAGAGACAAATGAGGATCCGTTGATAAATATTGGTGATCCCAAATGGAGTAGATGTTCAAATGGTGACATACCACAAGTGAATGCTGTGATTGGTGGCAACCATATATATGGGCAAGTTATGTATGTGGGACGAGTTGAATATCGAAATTCATTGATAATTGGCAAGGTATATAAAAATGCAGAAGTTCAAAATATTTAATTTGATATTACTTATCGTACATGGTTTATATTAATGAAATAGTCGCATTTGATTTTTTCTAGTAAAGTTTATACTATTACTAGCATACAACCATGTTTATTATATTTTTATTTAAATAAATTCATATATAATATATATTAATTATAATTAATCATTATCTTCGTATTAAATATTTTTGGATTTTTTAAAGAAAATATTATGATCTCATATTATTGACCACATAAAACTTATTTATTAATATAAATTTATTCGCAAAGTATTATTAATAGCTCTATAATTTTTAAATGTCATTAATATTTGTGCAGGTTGTGCCTAGCCATAAAGTATGTTATATTGCCGTTGATGGTTGCGAAGTAGCAAAATCAAATTACCAAGTTTTGACATTACCATTATCAAGATTTGATTGGGTAGACGCATCTACTAGAAGTTTCCCTGATAATGCCATTGTTGGTGGTAAACAATATGGCGTTGATTTGTACATTGGGAAATGTGTTCATAATGGTAGTGAAATACCTGGCAAGGTTTTAGGCAAAAACGGGGTTCTTTACGTGCCATTTGATGGACAAACTTTAGAATTTGAAATTTATAAAATTCTTGTTAACAAAAATTAAAATTTTACAACCCTAAAATGTACTAACAATAAATAACGGATTTTTGAAATTAATAATCTGTTTAGAGTTTTATATTTTTATGACTGTTCATTTAAAATAAGTCATGTACATTAAATTATAATGAAAATATTTCCTAGCCATGACAACTAAATATCTATAATGAGTTTACATTCAATTAGCAAACCATATTATATATAGAAAATATTTATATTGAAATTTAAACATTAATATAATTTAAAACAAATAGGTTAATAACAAATAGGTTAATGATAAAATTCATTTATTCAAAATTAATTAATTCATTCATTGATAAATATTGATGTAATTATAATAAAATGTAAATGTTCACTTATATATTTCAATAAGAAATACAAATGTAGAAAACGCTAATAATGTGAAATAAATCATAAAATATAATTGCACTCGGGTTAGATTGACACTGTTAAATATATCATGCTCATCGTTATCGTCAGCATACTGGTTAAGGGCTTGATCTGATAAAACTAAACTACCCTTGATGCTAGCAGGTATCCTATTGATTTTTATTCATCCTAGTAGTAATCCTTTCTCAAATATTATTGTAACACTATATAAAATACAGTAAACATTCAAAAATAATAATTATTAGTAAACTTTGTTACCATTGTTTCAAAATGTGTTTAAAATTGAGGTTCATTTGTTTTCTGACTAATAAGCCACCAACTGAAAATAGAGCTCGCTCATCTGATATGTGCAATGGTAGTGCTGGATGCAAATCAATGATCTTTTGTATCACTGTATCTTCATCCAGTAATACTGAACGCCCGGCTATTATTGGCTCCAAAAATTTGACTGATATTAAATCACCTGGTATATAATTCTGATATTCCAATTGCGGATATTTAAGCTAGCGTAATTAAAATATTATTATAAATCTTAATACATTTATGACGTTTATAATTATGATTAATAATTTTATAATTATAAACTTACCTTAATATAATTAGTATATGAATAACTGGTCAGAGAAACTGTGACAGTTATATTTTTAGGTGCGTTAACTACATCACCCATGCTATCAATTGTACTTGATGATTTAGTGGTAAGTGTTGACAATACTTGAGTGTTAAATAACTGAACCCAATATAAACAATTTAATATCCATAACGCATAGAAAACTCTGATAAATGTTCCGGATTCTCGTGAATACTTTGTTACGCGACCTAAAAATATTTAAATTATTAAAATATAATTTTTTTTATGAAAATACAAAATGGTAGTTACATTTGCCTAATAATACAAGTATATTGTCAAGAACAACACAAACAAATGCATCTGAGAAATTAAAAAGTTGTCTATTTGCTTTAAATTGCCACCATGTATGAAAAACATAAATATTTGTAACAATAATGAATATAATTGCGATGAATAACCATGATGACTTATGAAATGAATTAAATGGTCTGGACTCGTTTGATAAGATAATCTTTGCAGATAATNAAATGAATTAAATGGTCTGGACTCGTTTGATAAGATAATCTTTGCAGATAATAATGAGACTTCATTTGCGCAAACTGGGTATAATAATTCGCCAATTTCTGCTCGATCATTATCATAATGGAAATATTGAATAAACATGTCCGCTTTCTAATAATCATAATAACAAACAATTTAAAAATTACTGCAATAATTAAGTAAACTTTGTCATTAACCAACATTATAAAAAATATATTTCATAAATCCTGTCCATGAACCATTTGGTAATTTATAGCCTCCACCTAATCCAGGGACTACTAGAAAGTATATACTAAATAATGCAATTAAATGTTAATTATTTGGGAATTTTAAT